AGGGGGTGTCAGGTGTGTGGTGATGGAGTGAGGCTCTGTGGAGACAGGGGGGCTGGGGCTTGGAGCTCAGGGAGAGGATCTGGTTAGCCTGGGCTGGGAGGAGAGCCCCCTCATTTCTGAGGCTGGTGGACTGTGGAGGCTGCTGCTGTTGCTGGGGGGCTGGGCAGGGCAGGAGCAGCAGGAGGCACGGGCATTTCTACTGAAGGCTGGGCAGTAGGTGGAGGCCTCATCTGCCTCACTCTGGTCCTTCTGGGTGTCGCGTTTATGACTTGTCAGGTGGGTCTGGAGCATGGTCGGGGCAAGGGCTTCTCGGGTCCACTACCCAGTGCCTTGTAGGTTATGTTTTCCAGTCCGGCTGGTGGGAGCAGGCACTGTTCCTGGCCCTGTATGAGTGCCAGGCACTGCCCCATAATCCTTGCAGATTGTTGTTGCCTGGTCTTGGTGGTTTTGTTTACTGCCGATGGCTTGAAAGGAACATCACACAGATCTCTGGACTTCTCTGTGCAGCTCTCTCCCCTGATACTTTGCCCTGTGATGTCTCCTTAGACTCTTGGCCCCATCTCCACAACTGGGGGAGTCTGCTGGGCTCTGCTTGGATTGCCCTCCTCTGCCCCGAAACATTCCCATTCCCCCCAACACCCTCCCCTCGCTGCCCCCCAAATCTTTCTCTGGCAGATCTTGATGGAAGGCCCATGTCTTGGAAATGGTCTTAAGGCAAGAGAGACCTGAGCCATTCTAGGATGAAGGGCTGGAGCCAGGGGTGGGTAGCTTCCCCCAGCACTAGGGGGGACACTCATAGGCCTCCTCTTGTTCGCCTCCTGTCTCCCAGGGACCATTGCTCTGTGTTGCTTGAAGGCCAGTCCCTTGAAAGTGGTTGTTTCTTACAGTTAGCTGTTTCCTGTTTCCTGTTTTGGCGTCATCTAGTCCTATTGTTCCATAAGGCAGACCCTTTCTTTTATTTTCCAACTTGCCTAAGCAGCACGTCACACGTTTAAACCCATTTCGTGCTCAGAACAACCCAATCAGGTAGCTGCTCTTACCCACTTTTTTTCTATTGTGGTAAGAACACGTAATGGGATGGACCCTTTCAACAAAATTTAAAGTGCGCAACACTGCTTGTTAACGAGGCACGGTGTTGTAAGCCGATCTCTAGAACGCACAGGTCTTGTGTAATCGTAGCTTTACACCCGCTGAACAGCAATTCCTGATTTCCCATCCCCAGCCCCTGGCAACCACCATCCCACCCTGTTCCTATGAGTTTGACTGTTGGATAAGTGGACACAAGGAAACTGAGGCGCCAAGAGGTTGAATGACTTGCCCCTGACCTTAGAGCTGGTTGGTGGCACAGTGGGACTCAGCCATGGGTGGTCTGGTGTCCGGACAGAGGTGCGGAGACAGATTGTTGAGGTTTTATAGGCCATAGGTCAGGCTGGGAAGAGGACAAGGGCCGACTAAATGGACAGTATTAGAGCGAGCAGTCAGAGGCCGAGCCAAGGAGTATCAGTCATGAGTGTGAGAGTGAAATGAAAAACGTGTGTGTGTGTGTGTGTGTGTGTGTGTGTGTTCAGGATTCAGCTTGACTAAGGGGAGGGAGAGGTTTCTGTGAGATGACTGAGGGCGAAGGGGGAGAGTTTACAGTGAAGGAACAAGGGTTTCTGGGGTGGGAGGGGAGAGACGTGGGAGAGGAGGCTCTAGGGGTGGGAGATGAGAGAGGAGGGGACTTGGACAGCAGCCCGTGGGGAGTGGTCTGTGGTGGAATGACCTGGACTGAACATCCCAGGGGAACTGGGTGGTGGTGGTTCCAGTTTTAGACTTGCGTGAGGAGCCCAGGCATGGACCGTAAGAACACAGGGCCTGTTCCCTAGGTCCCCGGGTCTGAGATTGGGCCTTTACACACCGATGATGTGACTATCGGTGTCATGTGCAGGTATGTTGCATGCACTTGTAGGTGTGAGCATATGCATGTGTTCATGTGGGTGCCGGTGTGCAAATGCATGCGTGTGCAATGCTGAAATGCTAGGGTCAAAGCCCATAGTTTTCCCACCCACCTGGGCTGTACTTCCTGAGACTTCTGCTCCCCTGGATGCTCCCATTAGGTGGGCTCTGGACAGACATCCTCCTGACACCCCTTCCCTCGCAGGAGCGCCCCCTCCCCAGCCCCTTCTGCTGCGGACTCTCTGCTCCAGCTTCTGGCTCAGTCTGCTGATCCTGGGCTTCAACGTCCTGCTGCTGGTGGCCGTCTGCGTGGTCGGGTCCCAGAGTGAGGATCGCAGAGGCCAGTGGGATGGGCTGTGGTGGGAGGAGATACA